TAGAGGGCTGCCAAGCGCGTTCTCATGTGTGTGTGGTGTGTGGGTTGTATGTGGGGTGTTTGTGGGATGTCTGGGGTTGCGTGTGTATGGGGTGTGTGTGTGTGTATGTTTAGGAGTCATGAGCGATGGCCCCCAGGGCCCCCAACCCCTATATATATATAAAATAAATTAAAAAAAAAAAAAAAAATGTTCGGGCTCGGTCTATTTTGGGTCACGTTCGTGCTCGGTACCGAGCGTTCGGGTTCGGTCACCGAGCCCGAGCGCGATGCTACGCAGGTCTATGTCTTCCGTGCCTGTGACTTGTATCTTTGTTCATTTTCTTTGCTTTTTCCTACGTGTTTCTGTGCCCGCCCACCTCCCCCGTGCCCTCCAGCCTAATGTGTTTTGTTCTTGCTTGTCATTTATGTGTCCTGCACCTCTCCTCCTTGTGCATTACCTCTTGTTTGTTGCTCTTTGCCCCCTCGCCATGTTCTAGTTTGGTTGGCTTCAACAATAGGGCATTCAGCTTCTCCTTGTTTGCTTGTTTTGGCCATGCCATATGAAGTGGACGGTTTATTTTTTGGTATGTTGCTTGATATGCTTTTCTGCGCAGCTCACCACGTTTGTTTACGCGGGGGGCTAGTAACAATACTACACACACACACACACACACGATTTTTTTTTATTTTTTATTTTAATCAATCAATCATTCAAACAATCAAACAGAAGAAAAAGAAGAAGAAGAAGAAGAAGAAGAAAAAAAAACAATAACCTTGGAAAATCTTTTAGGAGGACTTTGACTCCATATCAGTCACACAAAAAATGAAAAAAAAATATTCCTGCTCTTCTTTTATTTATTTTTATTTTTATCTTTTTAACCGATTTTTGTTTTTCATTTTTCATAAATCCTAAATGAAGTCAAAAAAAAAAACAAAAAAAAACAAAACAGGGTTGTAGGGTTAAACCCTACAACCCCATTTTTTTTTGTTTCACTTATTTTTCGATCCCCAAAAAAATATCTGAAATATAGGGCCGCAAACTAGG